TTTGTTTGTTTTTTTCTTCCTGGCAGTACTGAGGATTGAAGGCCTTCCCACCAAGCTACATTCCAGCCCTCTTTATTTTGAGACAGGGTCTCACCAAGTCTCCCATTAAGCGGCCCCCAGCCTGCCATCCTCCTGCCTCAGCCTCCTGAGTAGCTCGGATTATAGCCCTTCCAGTCTTTTTTGTCTGTGTGTTTGCGTGGCATTTTAGGAACAGGAGCCAGCCATGGCGAGGAACACAGCCCTGAGGCCAGGCTCACCCACTTCCTGTGGGAGCATCCCTGGGCAGGCCCTCCCGCTCCCCAGTGCCCACAGGTGAGATGGGGCAGATGCCAGTGGCGCCCGCCCTGGAGGGCTGAGGCAAGAAGCGCTGGTGTGTAGGAGCCAGGGAAGGCCCTGTGTACATTCGCTGCTGCCCCTCTGCCTCACCGCAGCAGCAGCAGGCCATGGGTCTGTGTCTCAGTGCTTCCGCTTTCCATGGTGGTGGGCGTGATGTGCCCCTCGCACAGCGTCCCCAGAGTCCCCAGGAGGACAGCAGAGAGGAGCCGTGTGGTCTGAGGCAGGCACACTGTTAACTCAAGCGGGACTTCCCAGTTAGTGTTTAAGGGGTCCTGGCCCCTTTTCCACCCTTGGCTGCTGGGTTTGACAGGGTCTGCCCCTCCTCACCCCCGTCCATACTCAGTCTCACCTTGCGCTTTCGAGGTGGGCAGCGGTACCACTGAGCTAAATCTGGGATTTTTGTAAATCATTTGCTCCTTTTTCCACTGACTTTTTGTCACTTTTGAAGACATTATAGTACTAGCACTTGTTGATATGACGCCTCTGTGATTACGGATACTTTCCCTGTCACTTTTCTTCCGTTATTTTTTAAGGGTTTACCCTTGAGATGTCATCACTGCACTGAATGGACTTTACAAAGTTTCTGACTCAGTGGTGTTTGGTTACATACTTTTCTTTTTGCTTCTGCTCTTGTCTGATAGAAGCATTTCATTTTCTTTAGTCAAATCATCAGTGTTTTGTTTTTTGAAATTACTCTTTCTTTTTATGCTTTGTTTTATTTCATTCCTGCGTTTGGTAGTGCTGGCATGGAACCCAAGGCCTCATGTATGCAGGCAAGCGCCTGACCCCGAGCCACAGGTCCGGCCACTTTGTGTCTTATTCTGAAAGGCTGTGCTCCTGAGTCCTAACAAGGTCTTAGGATTTTGTCTTTGGGAACTTCATGGCTTTGTTTTCGACACAGTAGGATTTAAATCTGGAATTTCTTAGGAGCATGAAAGGTGAGGGTCACACCTTGAGAATTGGCTGTTTATGCCCTGATGTCATCGTGTGGCCCTGTGTCCATGCCTGGCATCTGTGCCTGCCTCCTGCCCAGCCCTGGCTCTGTCTGGGTCCTCCCCTCCCTTAGCAGGTCCTGGTAGGGGCCCCTGCACACCTGGCACTGTCACAGGGGCCCAGGATGTGTCTGCGACACAGGATGAAGGTCCGGGAGGGCTACACGATTGCTGAAGGATCTGGGTGCTGATTCTGCCTACATCAGCCATTTTCAGTTTTAATTTACCGGTGCTGGAGTCAAACCTAGGCCTCTGCACAGTAGGGAGGCACTCACTGAGCTGCACCCATAGCCATCAGATTTCACTGCTGCACTTTTATATATTTTCTTACTAGGACAGGCCTCTCCTTTGTTGTTGTTTTTAGAAACTCCCTTGCTCCTTTTGACGTTGTTCCACAGGAATTTTGGAGTCAACACATTAAGGCTCCTAAAGAATTCTGATGACACTGGAGTTGTCCTCCCAGCAGGGGCTGCTTGGCCACCTGTGGTCAGCAGGTGCCACGCTGGGCAGTGCAGATTGGGACGGGGACCCCTCTGCAGCCTGGGCTGTTGGGCTGGGTCCAGATGGAGTTCCCAGGCTCCCTTCCCACAGGAGCCAGGTGTAGGTTTGTGTGGCACAGACCCCAAAGCCCTGGCCAGATGCCCCCTCAGCCCTGCTCTGGGCTCAGTTTCCTCCTTGGCCCCATGGGGTCCTGATGCCAGCTCAAGCGCTGTTGGCATCCAAGGGGAAGCCATTTCTCTACAGCTGTGTCGCTCACTCACCAGTGCCTTCGCCCACAGCCCGTCCATTGCCACGAGCTCACTGCCAGGGCCTCCTGCAGCCTCTCTGGGCCTGGAGCTGCTGGCCGGCCACCAGTCAGGGTGCAGGAGCCCAGGTGCCCACAGTAGTGGAGCCAGGGCTCGGCTCTTGAGTCCTGCAGGGCTGGACAGCAGCGCACCTGGTTTGCAGTGTTCTCTGAAGCTGCAAGCCAGGGCTCTGCTTCCCACGCCTGGGTCCCCCCCATCCTGCTGTCCCCTCTGTGCCCTCTTAGGCTGGGGGGACTGAGTGCCCATCTCTAAGAGCACAGTGAGACAGTGTGCGGGACTCCTGCAAGGGCTGGGAGCTGTGGCGGGACCTCTGCATCCCCCACGCAGCGCCCTGTGTTTGGAGGCAGCCAGCTCTTCACCCCTGGTGCCCACCCTGCCTGCTGGAGCTGCTGCAGGGTCGAGGCAGAGCCCCACAGGGACACCTTTCACCCTCTAGCACCTATAGGTCCTCCCACTGCCCTGCTCCCAGGGAAATGGGGTCCAGGGGCGCTGGGCCATGTCCCACCTCACTTGGGTAAGTCTGCTGGTGGTCATGACAATGCGAGCGACACTGGGACTCACCTGAGCATGCGCTCTGTCCCGAGCACGCTCACAGCCATGCTCTGGTGGAGGAAGCCGGGCTGAGTGAGGCGAGGTCCAGTTCTCAACCCCAGGGCCAGTGCTGGCACAGTGTCCTCAGCCAGGATGTGTGGTGCTGGTGGTTTAACAGGCGGTGCTCTGGGGACCCGGGGGAGCTGGGTCCTTGGAAGTCAGGGTCCTGTTTGCCTAGACAGCGATCGCTGTGGATGGTGGCCCTTGCTGCCATCCGAGTCTGGGGTGCCTGTCACTGTCCTGGTGGCCTGGTCCTGGGTGGCTGGAGCCCTGTGGGGTAGACTGTGAGCCAGGAGGACGTCAGCCACAGTCAGCTTGGTCTCCGCTATCAGAAAGGGCCTGTGGGAATCAGCTGGATGGAAGTAACGGAGCTGCTGGCCGGCCACCGGTCAGGGTGCAGGAGCCCAGGTGCCTGCAGTAGTGGAGCCAGGGCTCGGCTCTTGAGTCCTGCAGGGCTGGACAGCAGCGCACCTGGTTTGAGGCCCTGTGTCCTTGTGGGCCCTGGCGGGTTCCAGACTACAGGACTGGAAGAAGTCACTTCCAGGGTGGCTGCAGGGTACGGAAGGCCAGCCTGAGTCTCACCCCTCTGCAGGCCTGCAGCCGGCCTGGGTCATGGTGGGGACAGGAGCCCACCATGCGGGGCTAACCAGAGAGCTTTGCTGATGGTGGGCCTGGAAAGCCTGCGGGATCTTCCCAGCGCTGAGCCTGTCCTCCGGGCAGTCCCTACAGCAAGCAGGATTCCCACCCCCTGTGGGCGCCTCCGGTCCTTCTTCCTGTGATCCGGGGAGGCTGGGCTCTGACTGCCTGCAGCTGAATGAGGTCAGCCCTTGGGTCACAAGGACACAGCTCAGGTAGGGTGGGACATCCCGAGATGCTAGGTGGCCACCTACTCCCACTTGTCATCAGGTGGACCTAGGCAAGCTCTTCTTCCCCAGAAAGCAGGGGTGAGCAATTAACCAGTAGTGTTGCTTAAGGAGCACAGACCTGCTCTCACCCAGAACCTTCCATCTCTCACTATTGCCCTGGTAGTTCACAGTCACATGTGGCTATGCTATACACGAAGGGAAATGACCAGTGCAGTCTGTGTCCCCTGCCACCCTTGACTGAGTCAGCATGAGATGTTTAAAGCTGGCTCCGCCAACCTTGGAGGAGGCCGGCAATCCTGGACCCAGAAGCAGACCTCGGGGACAGGGCTGTGGGCTGGCTGACTGCTGACCACCTGCCAGGCATCCCAGGGACACAGCAGGCCCAGGAGCAGATGGCCAACATCACCATCAGCACTCTTGATGCTTGGTCCTTGTGGGGTGCAGCTAGGTAGATAAAGAGCGTGGGAATACAAGCTCCCAGGGGCCACGTGGCACACTGGTTGGGTCCACACTGCCTTCGCCTGCACCACCCAGCCAGGGGCAGAGGATCGCTGATTCTGCCCTCTGAGGCAGGAGGTGGTTGGTACCAGCCCCCCAGTTAGTAGGCATGGGTGTGGGTGTGCTGCAGGGCAGAGGGGCCTGAGTGCACGGGAAGCCCTGGGTCCCGGAGGGGACACCCAGCTGCTTGATGCCTCGCAGTAACTCCGAGGACCAGAGACAGCGGGAGAGGAGCCAGTCAGGCCAGAGGGCATGGCTGGGCTCTTGGGCTCCTCACAGCTCCCAGAGTGGCCACATGAGCTCCTGAGAGGACACGTGGCTTCCTAGATCCCCACATGCAGCTGTCTTCAAAGCCCTCTCATGCCACCCTGTCTCCTGGGACCCACAGGCCCTCTGCCAGGTCAGCCAAGGGCAAGACCTACCAGCAGATAGGCCGGGCATCAGAGGCCTAGGGGAAGATGGGCCTGCCTGGCTTCTGTGGCAGGAGTGCCACCACAAGATGGGAACTGCCCCTGCTGGCATCAGCCTCAGGACAGGGTGATGCCCACAGCCCACGCTGGCAGGGGCAAAGGGGCTGTGCTCTAAGCCCGTCGTCCCTGGCTCTGTACTTCCTGGTGAGGATGCCTGGGCTCCATGGGGACACAGTGCTGCTGTGCCAACCCAGGCTCTCTCTGAGGAGCCACCGTGGACTTAGCTGTAGGGCTAAGGTAGAAACACTGGCCTCAGGTAGAAACCCTCAGTTCTTCATGGCGCTTTCAAAGGATGCCCTCGCTGGCCTTGCCATGGGCCTCATCCTGTCCTGTCACTAGTGGATGTCATGGCCTGTCAAGGTCCAGGTGCTGTGGGCCACAGGAGTGGGGGTTCAGGGAGTGCCTGGGGGACACTGGTAGCCCAGGGGGGTCTGCAGGCAGGTTCCCCATGGCCAGCCCAGCCCGTCCATTCTTGGCACAGGTTTTGGGTGGTTCAGGGTAGAGGGTTTTAACCTCTCCATCTCAGACTTGGGGCCAGGCCAGGCAGGATGTCCTGGGCCCAGGGTCTCAAGTGGAAGCCTGGGCCCCTGGATGTCCACTTGTGCCTGTGGAGGAGAGGCAAGGACAGGGCCCAGGGCTGGGGCAGGAGGGAGGAGGCCGCCCCTGACACAAGCCCCTGGGCCGAGCGCATTTCTCTCCTCCCAGGAAGCCTGAGAAGGGTGTGCAGTACCTCATTGAGCGTGGCTTCGTCCCTGACACGCCGGTGGGTGTGGCCCACTTTCTGCTGCAGCGCAAGGGCCTGAGCCGCCAGATGATAGGCGAGTTCCTGGGCAACCGGCAGAAGCAATTCAACCGCGATGTGCTCGAGTGAGTTCCGGGCCCTGGGCGGGGGGCACAGAGCTGTGCCACACTGGCAGAGACATCCTCCAGGCTCACCCTGTTGGCAGGGACATCACAGTCGTGCCTCGGTGTCCTGGGGCCGGGTGTCGGGACCCCTGCGGAATCCACACTCCTCCAAGGCTCTGATCCCCTACGAGATGCAGCCTCATCTGCACCTAACCTGTGCACACCTGCATGCCACGCCGGTGCTGTGTAAATATCTGCAGTGCTGTGCGGTTTAGGGAGTGGCACCCGCCAAGCAGTCTGTGTTCAGGATGGGTGAGGTGGTTTTTATTTTTCCCAAATGTTTAAGATCTCTGATCAGTTAAATCAGCAGCTTCAAACCCAAGGATACAAAAGGCGACTACACTACCTCCTCCCCCTGCCTCTTTCTTTCTGGGCCCTGCATGCTCGCACACGTGGGTTTTCAGCAGTGTGGATGCTCACGTAGCCACCCTGCTCATTTACACACATGACACGAACACAGTCAGACACACACTGAAGACCAAGTGACGGAGCACTGGCTGTGGCTTCACATGGACCCAGCCGGTCTGCGTCCTTCCTGGGCCGGATGCAAGGAGCCTGGGCTTCCTTTTGGTTTCTGCAAGCTCAGCTCCTCCTTCCCGTCCAGGCCCCCTGCCATGTCTCTGCCCCCCTCCCCTCTGAAACACAAGGCCTGAGGGACAAGGGGCAGCCCCCACCGCCCCCTGCAGTCCTTCCTGCACCACGTCCCCCCGGCTGGTTCCTGGTCCCTAGGAAATCCGGGCATTGTCCGCCCACCAGAAAATGGCAGTGGCCTCAGGAAGACTTGAGGCTCCCCCGGCCCATCAGCGAGGCACCCCAGGGCCACCTACTCCCTGCCTGCCCTTCCGCTGTGCACAGCTGCCCCTCCCCAGGAGGGGATGAGGCCTTTGGTGACTTCTCACGTAGGGGCCACTCACGTCGGCCGTGTGTCCCTGTTCCAGCTGCGTGGTGGACGAGATGGACTTCTCTGCCATGGAGCTGGATGAGGCCCTCAGGAAGTTCCAGGCCCACATCCGGGTCCAGGGTGAGGCCCAGAAGGTGGAGCGACTCATAGAGGCATTCAGGTGGGTACCTGTGTGGGTGGGCGGGTCACCCCACTGAGCAGAGAAGGTGCAGCTATGCACCCACTGGGACAGAGGCAGGGCAAGAGGGACAGGCCCGTCAGGGCCAGCTCTGCCCAGCCGCGTTGCCCGACCACCAGACGCAGGAGTGAGGCTCGGGGATGGGGGGGCCCTGACCAGCCCTCTGTGTCCCTCTAGCCAGCGGTACTGCATCTGCAACCCCGGGGTGGTGCGGCAGTTCCGGAACCCAGACACCATCTTCATCCTGGCCTTTGCCATCATCCTGCTCAACACAGACATGTACAGCCCCAACGTCAAGCCCGAGCGGAAGATGAAGCTGGAGGACTTCGTCAAGAACCTCCGAGGTGAGCCCCAGTCTGCAGGGACCAAAGGTTCAGAGGTGGAGCTGCACCTGGGATCCACACACGGTCCCCAGGGCATGCACAGGGCCGGACACAATGCAGGGACCAGGTTCAGAGGTGGAGCTGCACCTGGGATCCACACACGGTCCCCAGGGCATGCACAGGGCCGGACACAGCCTGGGGACAGGCGCCTGTTCTCAGGTCGGGACGCCTTGCTGCAGGGGAAGTGATGTTTAGAGTTT